CTGACAACATGAGATAAAGTCTCACTGTCTTTGCTTCCAAGGAGCATTCTGGCTATAGTTCATCCAAGACAGTTTTGTTTTTCTGGCAGTCCATGGTACTTTCAATATTCTTCTTCAACACCATAATTCAAAGGCATCGATTCTTCTCTGCCCTTCCTTATTTATTCATGCATATGAGGCTATTGAGAATACTGTGGTTTATGCCAGGTGCCCCTTAGTCCTCTCAATGACATCTTAGCTTTTTAATACTTTAAAGAGAGCTCTTGCAGCACATTTGCCCAATGCAATACATCTTTGATTTCTTTACTGCTGCTTCTATGGGCATTTATTATGAATCCAAGCAAAACGAAATCCTTGACAACTTCAATATTTTCTCCATTGCTTATGATGTTGCTTATTTGTACAGTTGTGAGAATTTCTGTTTTCTTCATATTGAGGTGTAATTCAAAAAGTGCTTCAAGTGCTCATTTTCGGCACGCAAGGTTGTGTCATCTGCATATGGCAGGTTGTTAGTGAACCTTCCTCCAATCCTGATGCCATGTTCTTATTCATATAATTCAGCTTTTCAGATTAGTTGCTCAGTATGCAAACTGAGTAAGTATGGTAAAAAGAAACAATCCAGGTGCACACCTTTCCTGATTTTAAACCATTCGGTATCTCTTTGTTCTGTTTGAACCATTTCCTCTTGATCTATGTACAGGTCCTGCATGACATAATTAGGTGTTCTGGAATTCTCATTCTTCACAATGTTATCCATAATTTGTTATGATGCACACAGTCGAATGTCTGTTTAGTCAGTAAAACACAGGTTAATATGTTTGTGGTAGTCTCTATTTTCAGCCAAGATCTATCTGATATCAGCAATGATACCCCTTATTCCATGTCCTCTTCTGGATGTGGCTTGATTTTCTGGCAGTTCTCTGTCAATGTACTGCTGCAACCATTTAAAAATAATCTTTGCATAATTTTGCTTTCTTGTGATATTAATGATATTGCTTGATAATTTCCACATTTTATTGTTTCCCTGTTTTTTTTGGAATGGGCATATATATGAATGTCTTCCGGTTGGTTGGCCATGCAGCTGTCTTGGCATAGGTTAATGAGCACTTCCAGCATTGCATTCATTTACTGGAACATTTTTAACTGGTATCATATCAATTCGTGGAGCCTTGTTTTTCGTCAATACTTTCCATTCAGCTTGACCTTCTTCCTTCAATGCCATTTGTTCTTGATTATATGCTGCCTCCTGAAATACTTGAATATAGATCAATTCTTTTGTTACAGTGACTCTGTATATTACTTACATCTTCTTCCCCCCCCCATCTTCTTTTGATAATTCCTGTGTTGTTCAATTATTTTGCCCATTGTTGTTGTTCCACTACCAAGTCAGTTCCGACTCATAGTGACCCTGTAAGGGTTTCCGAGGAGTGACTGGTGAGCTCGAACTGCCAATCCTGTGGTTCAAACCAGGACTCCTTAAATGTTGCGCCATTGTTCTTTCAGATTTTTCTTCCTCTTTGGTTTTCTAACTTCATGTTTTTGCACCTTCATTACAATACTTTGCCTTCTCAAGCCACCCTTTGAAATTTTCTGTTCAATTCTTTTACTTCATTATTTTTACCATTTGCTTTAGCTATTTTATGTTTAAGAGCAAGGTTTAGAATCTCTTCTGATACCCATTGTGGTCTTTTTTTTCTTTGCTGTTTTTTAAATGACTTTTTTGTCATTGGTCACGCAAAATTCTATTATGTGATTTCTAGTGGTGTTTCTATCACCAAGGCCATATTTTCCAAACACTAGTCCTTCTTTGTTTCCAGCTTTCGTGTAGCAGTAGCAATCTCGATAGCATGCTTGATTGATTTCAGACTGTAGAAATTGGTAAATATCTTCAGTTTTTTTCATCTTTGACATTAGCGGTTGGTGTATTAAATTTAATATAGTCGTATTAACTAGTCTTCCTTGTGGCAGATGGATATTATCTTATCACTGACAGTGTTGTACTTTAGGATGTTGTTGTTGTTAAGTACCATGGAGTCGGTTCCGACTCATAGTGACCCTGCATAGGGTTTCCAAGGCTGCAGATCTTTACAGGAGCAGAAAGCCTCATCTTTCTCCCACAGAACAGCTGGTAGTTTTGAACTGCCGACCTTGAAGTTAGCAGTCCGATTTGTAACCACTACGCTACCAGAGCTCCTTGTACTTTAAGATGTTGTTGTTAAGTACTGTGGAATAGGTTCTGTCTCATAGCAACTCTATACAGGGTTTCCAAAGGATTCCACTATATCTGTCTATCTATCTATCTATCTATCTAGATAGATAGATAGATATAGATATAAATTGTTGTTGTTGTTAAGTGCCATCTAGTCGATTCCAACCCATAGCGACCCTGTACAGGATTTCCGAGGCTGCAAATCCTTATGGTAGCAGAAAGCCTCATCTTCCTCCCGCGGAACTACTGGTAGTGTAGTTTTGAACTGCTGACCTTGAGGTTGGCAGCCTGACTTGTAACCACTATGCTACCAGAGCTCCTTTGTACTTTAGGATAGATGTGTGAAATGTTCTCTTTTTTGATATTTTTTGTTTAATAAAGGTTCCTATGATTTTATAGCAATAGTTTTTTTTGGGGGAAGGGGTAAGTAGAAGTAAGGAGCTCTGGTAGCGCAGTGGTTATGAGTCGGCTGCTAACCTCAAGGTCAGCAATTTGAACGTACCAGCCATCCCGCGGGAGAAGGATGAGGCTTTCTGCTCCTGTAACGATTCACAGTCTCAGAAACCCTATATGCAGGGTCGCTATGAGTTGGAACTGACTCCATGGCACACCACAAAGTAAGAGTTAAGGAGTGAGGGCTAGGGTTGGGACTATAGCTAGGGCTAAGACTTCTTTTATTAGTGTTATGGTTAGGAATAGGGTTGGTGTTTGGGGTGAGGGTTGGGCTCAGGTTAGGAATAAGGCTTGGTCTAGATTTTAGGGTTACAGTTAGGTTTATTTATTTTTTTCTTGAAATCTATTTGATTTCTTTTTCATCTGAAAGTTCTGTAACTATGTTAGTCTCTCTTTTTACTTTGTTGTTGTTATTGTTGTTGCAACTGTATCTCTGGTTCTCTGTTGTCAATCTTATAGGTCTGTTTTACTTTGCATACTGCTATATCTGGGTGAGTCTAGGTGATATTGTCATGCTTGTTAGTCTCCGATTGTTGTCTGCTGTTGTTGCTTCTCTGTCCAAAGAGGTCCCTTCAGTATTTTTGTAAAATTGGCCTGTTTTTTTTTTTTTTACAAATTCTTTTAATTTCTATTTTTCTGAAAATGACCTCTTTCACCATATTGGATGGACAATTATGCTGAATATATGATTCTGGGTTGGCATTTTTATTCTTTTTCTTTCAGCGTTTTATATATGTCATCCCATTGTTTTCTTGCCTGTATGGTTTCTGCTGAGAAATCAGAGCTTAGTCGTATTAGTTATTCTCTGGAGGTAACTTTTCATTTTTCCTGAACTGCTTGCAGGATTCTCTCCTTGTGTTTACTTTTGAAAAGTTTGATTACATGTTGGTGTTTTCCTTTTGGGAGTCTATCCTATTTGGAGTTTGTTAAACTTCTTGAATCTATTAATCTTTCATGATGTTAGGAAAGTTTTCTTCCAACAACTTTTGGACAATATTCTCAATTGGGTTTTTGTCTCTTCTACTGTTCTGGAATTCCTTTCACATGTGCTTTGGACATGTTATCCGAGGGATCAGTCCCTGGAGAAGACATCATGTTTGGTAAAGAAGAGGGTCAGCAAAAAAGAGGAACACCCTCAAGGAGACAAAATGACATAGTTGCTGCGAAATGGGCTCGAACAGGGCAATGATTTTGAGGATGGCGCAGGACGTGGCCTTGTTTCATTCTGTTGGACACAGGGTCACTGAGTGGGTATCCACTTCAAGAGAATTTAATACCACTAAACCTCTGGTAGCGTAGTGGTTACGAATCGGGTTTAAGGTCAGCAGTTCGAAACTACCAGCTGCTCCGCGGGAGAAAGATGAGGCTTTCTACTCCCGTAAAGATTTACACCCTCGGAAACCCTGTACAGGGTCGCTATGGGTCGTAACCGACTCGACGGCACTTAACAACAACAACAACAACAACAACAAACCAAACCAAACCAAAGCTATCGCCTAGTCAATTCAGACTCCCAGGGACTCTATATAGGGTTTCTGAGTATGTAAATCTTTATAGGAGTTATGTTAAACCTTTTTTCTTGGTGGGCTTGAACTGTGGACATTGCGTTTGGTAGTCCAATGCTTATTAGTCTCAGCGCCACCGGGCTCATTAACAATAAAAGGCAGATAGAAAGAAGCTTTTGGGAAAACGTAGCTAAATATAGGGAGGGCCTGATGAAAATAGGGAGGTGGCAGAGGAGTCCTGGTGTGGCGTTGTGGGTTAACGTGTTGGACTGCAAAGTCACTTTGAATCTTAAGGTTGGCGGTTCAAGCTCATTAGCTGCTCCTCGGAAATCCTAGGCAGGGTCGATATGGGTCGAAACTGACTTGACGGCACTTAGCAACAAAAAGGAGATAGAAGTAAGCAGATTTGTGAGCTCTTCCAGACTTCAGTCCACAGGGCCTGGGTGTTCGACTGGGTTATGGAGGTAAAGGAAAGGATCTTTTAGACAATTGAAAAGGAGAGTAAAATCATCCACTAAGGTGAAAGAAAACAAAAGCAGATTTAGGAGGCTTAAGTCTGGCTTGATGAATCTGTGGTGTCTCTAAAACCCAGACATCAACTGAGGGGTAGAATTGTGGCTAGCGACAACTACAAAAACAACCACCAGAAGAAATTCAGAATACTGGATCCTCCATAGCCAATTTGCAGGCGCCAAAAGGCCAAACGCGCCGCGAAGCGCGCGCCTTCCGGAAGTAGCGCGCGCAAGCGCAGTGCAGTAGCGGGAGCGCCCCCTGGCGGGAGGACCGCAGCGCGCAGGGACCGCCCCCAGCTTCACGCCGCCGCCGCTGCCCGCCTCAACCCAACATGGCGATGCATAACAAGGCGGCGCCGCCGCAGATCCCGGACACCCGGAGGGAGCTGGCGGAGCTGGTGAAGCGGAAGCAGGAGCTGGCGGTGAGGGGCTAAGTCCGGGGCGCCCAGGTTGAGGCTTCGCGCCTGCCCTCGCCTCGGGGGCCCCAGATCGGTCGCTCCAGGCCGTTACTCAGAGAATGCAGCGCGGCGGGCCGAGTCCCGCGGCCTGAGCCCGGGCTGTACATTCCGCGGCCCGGGGGCGGCTTTATTTCCCGGTGGCGCGAATCTGGAGCCGGGAGCCGGGGCCAGGCCTGGGGGCCCCAGGGGCGGGGCGCGGGGGCCGGGGAGGGAGAAAGGAAGGAGGGGGCGTGGACGGAGGCAGATGCTGGGGGCAGCCGGGAGGTCGTGTAGGAGCACAGGAAAGGGCGAGTGTCGGTGGGCTGGGGCGTTGAGCGTGATATCTGACCATTGGAGGGGTGTCTGGGAGGGCGGGCGTGCACTTGAGTTTCAAGAGTGAGGGGCGGGCGTGCCCGTGGCTCTGAGTGGTTGGTATGGGATTGCCCGTGGGCTTTGAGGGTGGTGGGCTAAGAGACAGCTGTGGGAAGGGGACCTAGTCTGTTCTCTGGAGGATGGTAGGGGGTGTGTCCTTTTGGGGCTACACCAGGACTATACAGATCCTTTGGATGGGGCTTTTGATGGACAAGCCCCATGTTTGAGAAATCCTCTGGAAGGTGACAGGCAAGGGGGAGAAGACAGTCTAGGGAATTGGAAGTTGTGATATGCATTCAGGGTCCTATGAGCCCTGGTGGCTAAGATACCCCTCCTATCTGCGTTTTGGCTTGGGTCTGTGGGAGGCTCATCTCACCTGAAGCCGTCCTTCCAGGTTTCCATAGCAACTGGCGGCCTTCCGCTGGCGGCCTTTCAGAGCCGGCGGGGAGGGGAGGCTTTGGCGCTAGAAGGCTGCCCATCCAACTCTCTCCCGGTAGCGCTGCCTTTTGTGCGTGGGAGAGGCTGCCCATGTTGTGTCTCAGTAGGGGTTTTTGCCGTTCCATGATCCCTCTGAAGTATATGCACAATTTTACATATATGCAATTTTCTGGGGACAGGCTCTATGGAATCCATTCTCTTTTCAATGTGGTCCATTATCCTTAAAAGGTCAACACTATCTTAATCCTTAACAGTCTGACCCTCCCCATTATCGTCCTCGCTCTCCAAAAGTGTGTTTTAGTGTAGCTAAGCTCACGTTATACCTGTGATATCAAGATTTCAGTTAGGTAGGACTGAAAAACTGGTTTTAAAAAGCCATTTCCCTGTTTATTTCTCAGGAAACTCTGGCAAACTTGGAAAGACAGATCTATGCTTTTGAAGGAAGCTATCTGGAAGATACTCAGATGTATGGCAATATTATTCGTGGCTGGGATCGATATCTGACAAATCAGAAGTGAGTATTTGAAGCCTGTAGTGTTCTGTAACGTGCTTTAGTAATACTTGTTTTTAGGACTGTATGTTTCGTGGCAGCAACTTTGTGGGGAGTCTATGATAAAGTGATGGCTAGAAAGAGGTGCAGAGTCACTATGGGTCAGAACCGACTCGATGGCACTTCACAACAACAACAAAGAAAGAGGTCTGGACTTAAAACTCTGGCTCAGCCTCACTGCCTTACTAAATAATCCTGGGCAAATCCTCTATCTGGAAAAATCCTATAGAGAAAATCAGCCTGTGGCACAGGATTGTAGACATAAATGAAATACAACATGTGAAAATGCCTTATACAATAGCACTGTATTAGTGTTTCTACATTTTAATCCGTCATGAGCTCCACCTTCACAATGTTTCCCATGCCTGTGTGCCCACTATACCACTATTTATGTAATATTATTCTTTAAACTTTTTTGAATGTTTTGAAAATTTTTAAATCTCTAGAAAAATTGCAAGAATCGTGCATAAATACTTGATACCCTACAGCTGCATTCGAACACGTTTCCACATTTGCTTTTTATCTCTCTTCTTAATATATATATGCACATGTTGTTAAGTATATTGAGTTGGTTCCAACGCATAGCGACCCTATGCACAGTAGAACAAAACACTGCTCGGTCGGTCGTGCAGCATCCTCATAATCAATGTTATGTTTGAGCCCATTCCTGTAGCTATTGTACCAGTCATATAAACACATACCTGCCTGTAATAGTATGTGGTTGTTAAGTTCTGTTTACTCGGTTCTGATTCAACAACCTGTAAAGGGTTTCTGAAGAATGGTTGGTGGGTTTGAACTGCCGACCTTATGGTATTCCAGTCCAGTGCTGGTCCTCCAGCGCCATACCTATAATCCTGTAATCCGATAGATAGGTGTTTATATGTTGTTAAGTGCCATCAAGTTCTTTCCTACTCATAGTGACAATGTATAGGATTTTAGAGGAGTGGCTGGGGAGGGTTCCAGAGGAATGCCTCCATATGTTGTTGTTAAGTGCTGCAGAGACCGTCCGCTCTGACTCAGAGCAACCCTGTACAGGGTTTCCCAAGAGTGGCTGGTTGGTTTAAATTGCTGATCTTACAGTACCACACCAGAACTCCATGTGGTTCCAACTCATAGTGATCCTGTATAGGGTTTCCGAGGAACGGCTGGTGAGGTTGAACCACCAACCTGGCAGCTCAAACTAACTTTGCAGTTCAGTGCCACACCAGGACTATATATGTGTATGTATGTATATATATATATGTATGTATATATATATATGT